TGTGTGTGCGGGCGTGCGTGTATGCGAGCGCGTGTGAGTGTGCGCGTGTGTGTGAGTGAGTGTGTGTATGTGTGTGTGTTTGTTTGTGTGTGTGTGTGTGTGTGTGTGCGCACGCGCAACGGGCTGGGCAATAGATCTTTGCCCAAGCACAGCTGCAGGGGTTCTGTCCTCTTGTGTGATGAATGTTATTATTGCAAGCGGGGATCTTTGCGGGGATGTACTTGTGTGGCGCTTCTTATATCATATATTTCGCTTCTTATGAAATATCTGTAGGCCTATATTTATAATATTATGTATTATTTCCTTCACTTATTTTTTATTATAAACCATTGATCTAGTGTAAATACAAATGGCATGAACTATTATTATCTAGAAGGCTATTGTGCTTACTGAAAACGAAGGAATGCAGGCGACTTTTCGAAGAGAGCAGGCAAGACTCGCTGCCACGTTGATGATACAAGTACATGTAATGTGTTTTGAGACCACAGGGGAAGAGGTGTAACTCATGAATGTACTCACAAAGCACAATTATTTCCCCTTATAGTAATACTCAGCTTCAGGATGATCACCGATTTTATTTTGTTTGTTTGTATGAATTTGTGGTTTACCACGTGATTTGGATGTCTTTTATATGTCATTGCATGACAGATTTCTTAGAAAGATAAAATATTATCATTTTGGATTTCTTGTTCCTTTGCTCTTTCTTTCTTTATAAATTGAGACAAGATGACGTTATTTTCCTTAACCGACCTCGCAGTCATTACACAATGGGTGGTCCTGGCAATCCGCAACCTGGTGGAGAACAACCGAGCCAACCGAGACGTCCTATCTGGTATGTCTCTGCAGGGCATGGCGGGTCATATGAGCACGCTGAGGGAGATGGGCGTCCACACAGAGCTAAGAGGAGGGAAAATTGTCATCAAGCCAGTGGACGACTCAAAGAAATGAGCTGCAACTGCTCCTGTTGTCAGGATGGAGGTTGATGTGTTTTTAGGGGAAGGGGCAGAGGTCATTGCAGCTGATGGTTTCAAGAGTCAACATAGCTGAGGCTTGAAAAGGATTTTTACAGCTCTCAACTTATTGGCATGCTATTTTGTTCCCCTCTAGGTTTTACAAATAACTGCTCCTGAAATTCAGTCAAGTGTTGTTCCCAGTTGTGGAATGTTTGGTTGGCCTCTCTTCTGGAGTTTTTTTTTCTTTTTGAAATGTTCTGTGATTTTGTTTTGTCTTACGTTGGTTATTTGGTTTAGGTATGGCTGGCCACATTGGAAAGGTCTGAAGTAGGGACTGCTGACAGTACAGTGGCACTTGTTTGGTCAGTGAAAGTGTCTCTAAGGGAAAGATCTACAACACATTATGTTGTTGTAACTTATGGGCTCTATCAGTTTTTATTATGCTAGGCGGGTGGTTAGCAGGTGTTCTGGCTCCTTTTTCACTATCAAGCATCCATCAACCTTATCTCTCCTCTTTCTCTTCTTTGTACGTTACTCTCTAGTAACACCTCTAATATTCTGCACTTATATGGGATGCAAGTGCTGTAAGGCTCGCACTAAAACTATAACTGTTTTATGCCAGAGGGAAAGAGCTGTATGCATGTGTTTCCTTCATGCCCTGAGTTGTCCAAAGTCTCACAATATTATGAAGGTCTTGTCAAGTGGGCCAATGACTTCGAGTCCGTCTTGTTTTCAGGTGTGGTTGGTGTCCCACCTCTTTTACCTCTTGTTTTTACCGTCCTAATTTATTTGATTTATTTGTCATTATAGGGTTTTGTTAGGACAAGTGAAGGTGTGTTCAATCGCCTTGTCCGTGAAAATGCTGTTTGAACTGTTTCTGTGGTATTTATTTGTGATAAAACTGAAAGTCGTTACACTTTTACACTGTGCTAGATAAAGTGTCTGTATTCTTTTTTTTTTAAATTTGATTTGGTTCTTTTTTTCTGTACTTATTTTCTTTTAGAGTTTGAAAGGATGGGGGAGGTGTGTTTTTTCTTTTCTTTCCCAGGAAAGAAGGAGTGGGATTTGTCTCCTATTTATATATGGCACAGGCAAATGTCATTAGGTAGTACATGTACTCAAATGTGACTTTTAACATTTTTAATATATTAAATTTGTGCATTGACATAGCTATTGTTACAATTCATGTTTTTGTGAAATTGAAGATACTGCATTTGTATGATTACAACTAATATTTTCATGAAGTTGAAAGTGAAGCATTTGTGTGAATGAATGAATGAATTGTGACCACAGCGTCAGCCCAGGTTTTTTCTTCCTTTATTTTACATTTAATATTTTGCCAGCCTTTAGACTTCAGATTTCTTTGTTGATCACAATCTGTGATTACTGCAGACTTAACATTTGGAGTTGGAATGTCCTATTTTGTAAGCAGTGAAAGAGACTGGTCATGTTTCTCCAGTTGTGGAATGAAGTGAATTTCTCTAGGACAAGATTTATATGTTGATAAAAATAGATTCATAAATAGACAACAAAAAGTATTCTTTTGTATTTTTCTTTTAGCGTACTCGATTAAACAATTTCCAGAATGAATATTTGCATAGAATAAATCAAAGTTAAGACACAATCTGACAGACTATTGTAATGGCGTAAATATGACCTTGATGTTCACCATGCGTTTTAGTAGTAGAGCCAACCTTGGCTGTATGGGAAACAAACCTTGCAGAAAAATAAAGATACTGGTGCTTGATGAAAATAACTTTGTGATGTGGGATTGGAACAGAAAGTTTTTGTCCTTGAAATGAAGGGTCTGATTACAACAGCCTAGTTACTTGTTGTTTGTGTCCCAGTGAAAGCATATCAGAAGATCTGGTGGCTGGAGGGTGCCACTGGTAGGCCCTATTTCTTTACTTTCCCTCTGTTGTTTCAGTTTCTGTCTGTCTTTGTTACTTTTTCCCTGCAATAGATGACCATTTTTGTGTCAATGCGCTTCTCTTTACTAAAAAAAACAAGAAATAATCACACAAGACAACAGACTCTGTTATATGTTGATGCAGGTTGCCCTTGATAAGAAAGAAATGTGTAACAAGAGTCTCAAACTCCATGAAGAATCTGAAGTAAACAGTATGAGACTGTAACATCAGTTTTGCCATTTTAATCCTCTTTGCCGTCAGCATCATTGCTTTGTCTTCAACAGGCCACAAGTCTTGAGAAAATGGCTCTCAGAACTTGAGCATTTTATTTCACATATTAACACGCCATATTTACTGCCTTGTGTAGGCATAGTACCATTTGTAACGTTCATGTTGCGCCAAAGTTTTCTGACTATTTATAATTGGAGGGAACTTTCTTCCAGTAGTTTCATGAAGATGTTTGTTGTATAGTTCAAATTCTAAAGGACTAGAAATGTGGCATAAGCTCATAATATCTCGAGAATGTACCACGTATAGTCAATGACCTATCAGAAATGGTAAATTTTCTAATAGTAGAACTACATACTTGCATTCAAGTTGTATGTTGTATGACTTTGTGTCTTAGCACGTATATATAAGGCATTGCATCTTTGAGGTAGCTTGTAAAATTGTTAAAATTGTTATTAAAGGTCTAAACCTTTCCACAGAGTTTGTTATAGGTTTGTTACAGGTGTATCTTTGATTTACACCACAATTGTCTTTGCTCACGTTAGTTATGGCTAAACCTATGTTGATAGTGCTGTAAAACATGTACATGGGTGGTTGGTGAGTACTGTGGTGTGGTTTGCTCCTTCTTTCCTATCAAACATCTATCGTCCTTATCTCCCCCTCCTTCATTTTTATGTTTGTTACTCTCTTGTAACACCTCTAATCTTCTGGTGCTCATATGACCTTATGTAGTTGCGAGCGCCTTAAAATCTCTACTAGAAAAAAACAACAACCACAAGAAAACATGTACTCGATCTATCTCTATCAATCACATTAATTTACTGGGTATTCCAGTCAGTATTATGTGCTTTATAGGGTATCAATAGAAATTCGGGTATCTCTTTTTTTTGTCTTCTCCATCAATGGTCCAAATGAATTATTATGTAATGATGTTGTATTTTTTGGCAAAGACAATCTTTGTTCATCTCGTAGAGGGAGAAATTTGAGGAACACTCCGCCTATCTTACCATTTTTGGCATTACATTGCCTGTTATTTGATAGGTATTTTTGCTACATCTGTGACATAATCAATATTGATTAATGTTACTCGCTACAGGTGCTGTGGCTAATTTATTGTCTTTTTATTGTTGTTTTGGCACAAATGTTGCTGTTTTGATTCGCCAGAATGCACAGAAAAGAACAATGTTCCAGATGAAGAGATGCCATAGGTAAGTGTTAGTAGGAGCATAATATGCCAAATTTCAGACCAAGTTCCAACCGTGCCATGGGTGCTTTGCTTCATACATTTATTGTTAACCGTTTTCTCTCTTTCTTTCGGTCTCTCTCTCTTTCTTTCTCTCTCTCTCTCACTTTCCCTCCCTCCCTCCCCCCCCCCTCACTCTCTCTCTCCCTTTCCCTCTCATGTACCTGCCCTCAATCAGCGCCCAGATTGGGTCACTCACTGTTCTTCATTTATACTGTGTTCTTTGCTTCATGCACGTTTTTCTTCGTAACTGATACACACACTCCCTCCCCCCCCCTCACTCTCTCTCTCCCTTTCCCTCTCTCTGCAATAAGCTTGGGGTATTTTTGGAAAGGGAGGGGGGAATCTTAGGGTTCGATTCCCTTGAGATAAGGCTGCTGTCTAGTCTTTTAGACTTTTTTAGTTAACTAATTGAGATTGAGATAAGAGGTATCAACTGTTAATTATTTGTTCCTCAATTCTGCTGCTTTTTTGTGAAGGTTTTTTGGTTTTTGTTTCACTAATGCCATCTTTCTCTGTAAAGTCTGAGAGTATTTGTTATTGACTATTTTGTTCTGTTCTCATTGTGGATTTTTAGTACTGCATCTGCAAGATAAAGCACACGCTGATTCTGATTCTGATATAGCTCTCATTAACAAAAGAATCTATGAAATGGTGAATATTGGTGTATAAAAAAAAGGATGCAAAAAACCCCTAAACTAATATTGATCTAATGCCATGAACGTGTTCAAAGAAAATTAAAGGTGTATAGTTGAGTAGTATAATGATGTGTATCTTCCATAAGTCTTGGGACAAACTGTTTCATCACATTGCCCATGCTTTCCTCATGTATGTGGGTGGTTGGAAGGAGCCATTGGTTATTGTTTTCTTTCCCTCTGTTGTTTTTGTCTGTCTTTCTTTTTACCTGCGATAGATGACTACTATTTTGTGGTTGTGCTTCTCTTTAGTCAAACAGATAAACAAACAACATACCCAGGTCCTTGCATTCTTGCAGTGGGTAGTTGGTGGGTGCTCTGATGTGGTTAGCTCCATCTTATCAAACATCTTTTGTCCTCATCTCTCCTTCTTTTCTTTGTATGTTACTCTTTAGTAACACCTCTAATCTTCAGAACTAGAATGACGTATTAGTGTTGCAAGTGCTGTAAAAGTCTTAAAATTTAAAAAATTGAACATCTTTTGCAGGGAGAGGTTGATGGGGGCTCCAGCATAATTGGCTTTTACTTCCTTTCCCTGCTAGGATTCCCCTCCTGTGGCCCAAGCCACTGTGTTACATTGCCTCACTGACTTACCCAAGAGTGTTAGGCTCTTCACTGTTGCGTGCAGTAAACATGATTTCAATTCACAAGTGAAGAAGTTATGTAATTTATTTTTTTTCAAGTATGTCTGTGTAACTGCTGGGATGCTGTAACTTACTAAATAGCTAGGGTTGACTCTGACACAGGCAGGGATGAAGCAACCCACCTCCTGAAATTATCTGAACCTCCATTTGATCAAAATGTTTGCAATCACCCACCACCAATCTCACGTTAAACTATAACTTGCCTCAACTTGCCTCTCCTACCTATTTTTATTTCAAGATGTTCTGCCCTGTCTCGGATAAATATGTAAGTGTTAAGGCGCCTCAGTGCTTGTTTACCTACTGACCTGGAAATGTTTGGTGCCAGGTTTATCACTACTACATTATTTTTACTGTACATTTTCTTTTCATGTGTCACAAGTTTGTCAGCCCATAGAGCAAGCCGTACTTGAGATATTTGTATCATTTTAAAGCAAAGGCGCCTTTAAATGATTTCTCACTGATTGTTCATTTCTGTGATCCAGCTGTTGGGGGAAACCGACAACTCACTTCTCAAGCTAGCTGACTTTGCATCTCAAAACTCAGCAGGTGAAAACTTGTTCTACAAATTATATTTTTATGTAAAAGTAAGTGTGATTGCTAGAAAGACAATTTCGATTCTATTTAGTAAGACAGTATTTCCTCACTTTTTTCCACTTAAATAAGAGATCTGAATATCTGCATGTTACAATCTGTCTAGACACTACCAAGCCTGCATGCTTGGGCCGAGGGGCACGTTCCCTTTATTAACATTCCTGCTTTGTTTTAAATTCTTCATTCTGGTGGAATTTTGAAAATGTACTTATGAACTTTTTTTCTTCTCTTTCACTTTGAGGTGCTTAAGTCATGCTGTTCTCTGTTTTTATTTACTACTCTACTTTTACTTGCTATTCCACTATGAACAGTTTTATCTACATATTTATATTGAAAAGCTTGTTGATGGGATGATATTTAGACAGGGTGAGTCTTCTTATATCACTAGGCAGCTGTTTGTTTTGTGCTGTAGAGTTTAATGTGCTTATATGAGAATATTTCATTTGTCTTAAATTTTTTTGGTCATTAAACAATAGATTTATTGATTCTTCTTGCTGTTGTGTTAGGTTTATTATGCTGTCTTCTTTTTTCCAGTTGTTTCTTTGTTTCATTTGACAATAGAACGTTGCTCTGTTGAGTGAGGAACTAGTTGCCTTTTGTCCCGTATTTGTTTATATCTATCACTCATGATTGTTTTTGATTGTGGTTGGGGGGATATCATTTTTTTTTCGCCAGACAGCTCCATTTTTTCTCTTCAAGGGACGTAATGCTGATGAACAACATGTACTTAAGAATTAAGAGGGTTGTGTCCCTGCTTAATACGAAAGTTCTCCTAAAGCAGAGTGGCAGGTTGAACAAACTTTGTGGCATTTTCATTATAATATTGTTAGTTCAGCCTTTTGGCGTGTTGTGCTTGGTTACTCGTTGTTTGTATTGGAAGAATGTTCAGAGCCGTTAGACGAGATGAGACAGATGTGCCACAGCGAGGTGATAATTAATATAAGATTATGATTTGTATGTATTTTGGTGTTTTTGTCTTTTTGTTTTATATTTCCTGGACTTTGTTTTTTTTTCTTTTTTAAAATCCTAATGTTCAATGCCCAACCCGCATACATTTTAATTTAGATAGTTTCAAAGGAAAGGACTTCTTCTCCCATCAGATGGAAATACATTTTCAGTTCACTTGGACTGGAAAAATTTTGTTTCACTGGAATTGGAACCCTGAACCTTATGATATAGCCAGATTCACCATCGGGGTGCTCCATTGTGACCAGCAGGGAGACTTTGTCACTTTCTCTTAGACCCAATTAAATGCACATAGATCCACATGTAGTTCTCATTATTTTTATAAGAATAAAATAAAAATTAAGGTATATAGATTAATATATTGGTGTACATTTATACTAACAGGGTAATTATGTACAATGTTTGTTTGTCATTAACAGCATCCAATTTATCATGACCTTTATAAAATGCGAGTACACACAGGTCGTTGGATCATATTTTTAGACCTTGAGATTTAAAAGTGCCCCCAATGTTAGGGTCGGGCCAAGAGGATATTTTGTTCTTGCATAATGTCAGCGTGTAGCTTTGAGTACATTTGGAGGAACAGTAGTACGAAATATGTGAACTGACTTGTTGAGTTATTGCTGGCTATCTTGTATTGTGTTATTTTGTGCTAGTACATAATATATTTCTATAGTATGTGTAAGATGCCAGTGTTGACTTTCCTGGGTGCGCCTGTTTGGAGTAGATTATTCAGTGGTGAAAAAACAATGAATTAATTTGTTGCTTATTTAGTTAAATGTCAATTGTCCCCCTATTCTCAAATCATGTGTAGTTTGCCAAGTACATGTAAAATGTCTGTTGAGGTGTGCAATGGATTTTTGTCTGAAAGCAAAAACGTCTAGAGAGGTCAAACTGCCAATTAGATGAGAAGAGTGAAAGAAGCTCAATTTACTAATACTCTGCCAAAGACTATACGATGTGTTCACTTGTCAATATTTACGTATTCATGATATCTGAATTTATATGTATATGGTAAACAATCTTTTGTGCCTCGTAAGACAACTTGTAAATGTTTTTGGTTCAGTTCTGTGATTTCTGTTACTCTGCTGTGTGGTAAAAGTTGAAAGTGCTCAATATGTTGATACTTTGAATCAATATGTCGCTCCTCTGATCATCATACATTTGATGTACATTTAGCTGTGTGACATCCGTCTCGTATGGGAAGCATGAGGCATCATGAGTTAAAAATGCTGAAATCAAGGGAGAAGTCGTAAGCTACACACATCCATAATGGGAAATGAAGCTTTTAAATGCTTGAAATGTGGCAAACTCTTCTTTAATGCTAGAATTGG